GGGATGCAATGGCACTTTGCCCATGGTTGGCTCTTCCCATCACCCTGTCTCCACCACATCTGAGCAGCTCAGCATCATGAGAGGGGCTGAGTCCCCTGATGCCCTCTCCTCGCCACTAATCAGCCCTCTGCTGCTCTCTTCTTCTTTTACGCCTCTCGAATCCCCATGTAGCCCACCAGCGGGGTGCTCAGAGCCATCCTGCTCACCCCGCTGCTCACTGTTGACCGTGGGAGCGATGCAACTCTGCTGCAATGCAAATCTGGCGAGGGACGGCGGTGTGTGCGTGTGAATTGGCTCCGCCGCGCGGCTCCAGCCAAAAGAAGGGCTTCTGGCGGTGACCTCACGGCAGGTTGGATCCAGTCTTGTTTGTACAGACAGAGGGAGAATCCACTGATTGTGGCTTTCTTGGGAGTCGTTTGCAGTCCATGAGTAATGTGGACCACAAGATGAAAAAATAAAAAGGAGGCTTAAAAAGGAAAGGCGAAAAGAAGACATTATAATCAGTGTTTTCCACTATGTGCTATGAGCATCTTAAACAGCTCTGTTGCCAGAAGGCTCTGTTCAAATAATCTGTAACAGTTTGGAAGAGTCTTGCATAAACTGATGTCCAGAAACACCTCTCTTTTACAGTCCTAACTCATCCGCGTGGGTTTCGTCAGGACAGTGATGACAATCAGCAGTGTCTGCAGCCCATGACACACTTTTCCCCTCTCATTTAAGCAGCTGAAAACAGTGCATGAGCACAGGCAACAGCTGGGAAACTTCCTCAGCTGGCTGCTTTTCTTTCTAAATTCATTATTAACCCCCAGCCTAAGTATACAGTATTTAGGTGAATAGTGAACATATATATATAGGTTCATACCGAAAATAAAATTTCCTTCGTCACTTCAATTCTTTTTTGACTTATGATTTTTTTTTTTTTTTGATTGTAATTGATTTTGATTGCGCTCAGACCCAAAAATCCAGATTTGGATTCCCAGCCTTTTCCATTGGCTTCCTGTGTGACCTTGAGAAAGTCTCCCTGTGCTTCCGTTTGTCACTCAATAAGTTGGAAAAAGGAAATCATAGCGCGAGATATTCTTTTGTGGGATGCAAAAGGCAGCTTTTTTTTTTTTTTTTGCCAGAATTCAAATGAGAAAAATTGCTGATCACTTCCATGGCTGATGAAAGAGGAGAGGGATGCCATGAAGAATGCTGTCAAAACTTAAATACTTTCCAGTGGTAATGAAGATATTTTAAGATATTTTCATTTTCTCAGCACATCAGTCTTGAAAATCTATCTTCAGCTCATTTTCAGGGCTCATTTGAGCCCTGTTTTTAGGACAAGAGATTCTCATGGCTTGATTTGCTCCCAGGTGCTCTGTGGACAGAATCCCCCCAGCATCATGGACTTGACCTGGATGGTGCTGGGAGGTTTGGTGGGTGATGCTGCAGGACTCAAATGTTGTGGCTGCTGCTCCCATTCCCCATCCTTCCCTTGGCAGGAGCATGGCCAGGCCACCCATGTGGGCAGCACTGGCATTTAAAAGAACAATAAAGGCTGAGCTCCTAATCCCAAAGGGAAAACCTACACTAAAAATATGGATTGTGAAAGTGCATCCATTTCTATTGTGTTGATGAAACATTGTGTTAACTGAACTTAATCAAGTGCACATTATTTGCCTTTGTGGATGAAATTCTCTGGCCTGTGTTACCCAGGTCAAACCAGATGATCTAATGGTCCCGTTGGCCTTAAAATTCTCTTAAACAATGAAACATGGGTTTCATTAATGCAGTCAGACATTTGGAAGAGTGAAATATGAGCTGTGCATATTCTAATAATATATCTTTCAGATTTCTATGGCATTTGTCCATCTTTTTGCCAGACTGCAGTTTGTGAAGCAAAATAATGCCCAGATCTCTCCTTTGGAAATGAACTCCTCTGGAGCCAGCTGTGCCTGTTGCAGGGCAGATCTGGGTATCCTCTTGCAGACCATTTGGCATACAAAAGCAAGTCTCTGTGGGACATCATTCTCCATTTCCCCACAGAACTCCCATTGCTTGTGATATGCATTGCATCAAAAATCCCTCAAGCCATCTTCCATTGCAAAGCTTTCTTTCCTCTCTGCATTGGTCAGCTCTGACTTCAAGACCAGATGACTCCTTATATTCGAATCCCAATGTGTCTGCTTGCTTCTAAGAAGGAGCTCTGGCTTCTCCAACATCCCTCTGCAGAACAAGGGAAGGGAAGGAGAAAATGTGGCTGCAGCTTGGCACACACAGGGTTAAGCAGGAAGGCGCTCAGCAGTGAGTGCCACCAGCAACAGATGGCAGCAGGGGACATTGCAGCGTCACCTCGGGGCTGCAAGCAGCCACATCCGCATGAATCAGGCTGCTTCGTCCAACTCCATCCTCTCCTGACATCCCCTCTTAATGCCTGTGGATGTTCACAGCCGCTTCGGAGGGCGTTCCAGCATCCCAGAGTCGTGCAATTTGTGTGAAAGACCGAGGGAAAAACAAAAAGGCTCGGAAAGGATCTCATTGCAGGAATCCACCCCCCTGCCCAGGCTGTGATTACAGACAATACCTTCCCTATTTCTCAAAGGGGAATGATATATCCTTCCCAAGTGAAGCCCATGGCGGCCGTCCTGCTTGTGGCCGCGCTGGGTATGCAGTGATGTCATTTCAGAGAAGGACTCAAGGATTAACTTCAGTATGGGGGGGGGGAGGGGGGCTCAGCTGTTTTGGTGCTTTTTAAACTTTGCCTTCATTTCCTGTTTGTGGTGTTTGGTTTTTGTGTTTTATTTTTATTTTTATTTTTTAAATTGCATTCAATATTCACCCAGAGATGTTTCCAAACCCCATCCCTCCCGCTGCTCCCCTCACTCCCCCAGTCCCAGTTGTCCCATTGGCTCCGAGCATTGGATCCTTACTGGGAAATGGGCAGGTCATGAGGTTTACTGTCAGCCACAGAGACCTCTTTGGCCATCGCGTGAATCACCCTGGGGAGAGTCTCATTTTCTGTACCACCTCCTGAAATGTCAGGGAAAAATAAAACCCACTGTGTGACTGCAATGAGGCATATTCTGGTCCTGTTTATTTTGTAGGCAAACAGCCACTACCAGCAAGCAGCGTTCGCTATAGGTTCCAAAAATCTCCTTTACCAAGGATATTGTATGTGGAGGAGAACTGCCAAATTCTCCAAGCTGGAATGTCTGTTTTCCAGGGAACAGGGTTTTTTGGCAAGTCCTGGGCAATCCAAGTTCAGATGGCAACCAAGTTTGAAAGCAATAGAAAGTCCCCAGGTGCATGGGATGGGTGACACTGCTGCACCAGGAGGAATCAGACGTAAAGCAAATCTCGAATCTGTGGCCCCCCGCTCATGAATGTTATCCTGAAGTCAAAACTGTCCCCACCTTGGCCCCATGCCCAAAGCCCCTTTTGGCTTATCAATCAGCCAAGGCAGTCAATCAACGCCTGGAGTTTCCATCTCCGAGGATGGGCTGCAGGAAGCCTGAATCTGTCACTTCTTTCCTCTGCCTCGTTAGATCCTGTGTTTCACAGGATGCTGAAATCAAGGCACCGTGTGCTTGCGGACAGATAAATCAGTTCAGACCACCACATAATGGAAATCAAACACAGGCTCCTAGCTGTGTGTCTTATACGTTTGCATGCTCCATTCTTCATCAGGCAAGTGCAATAATTCAGATGATGTTTTAAAAAATCATCAACTCGCTCTTTAAAAGGCCTCTTGAGTGCGAGACTTTTGTAATGAATGCAGCTTGCTGAGTTGTAGCTCTGTGGTCTGATCAATAGGACAAACTTTGAATTGGGATAGCAGGATAAGGCATTTCCCACCTCACCAAAGAAGCCCGCAGAGCTTTGACTGAAACATTTCAGCAGCTGTAGGCTCAATTTCTAAATATAGGATTCAATGTTAGCCACCAGAACCCACCTGCAACTTTCAGACAAGAGCCGGCCTGATTTTCAGAATGTTAGATGACTTTGGGTATATTTAGTTAATGTTGGTACATGAAGCTGAGGTTTGTTTGGGTGAACTCAATTTCATCAGCTGAACCCAAATGAAACGATTTCATTGCTCCAGGTCTGAACAAAATATCAACACCAGCGACCCATTTCTGATGGTGGCCCATAAGGGATGTATAAAAAAACACTAAGAATAGGGCAAACGGGTAATATTTTCTCCCTGAATCCTCTCATAGCCTCCAAAATCACTGCTTGTATGTGGTTCCGTGTGTTCAGCCTCCTTCTGTTGGCCTGACCTCATAGTTGGGGCTCTCTGCTCTCCTCTCCACGATTTCAGAGGCGTTGCTCCGTGTGCTGCTATCAGGAGCAGAGATCTGTGCTGCGGTCTCTCCATGAGCTCATCGACACATTTGCACTTATGTTACCGGATTACTTAAACACAGTAAGTTAATCAGCAAAGTGTCAGCTCTCACACAGGGGAATGACAATTGCAATAGTAATTTTGCAGGTATTTTTCATCTTCAAGAAGCCAAGTTATTTTTAAAGCAGCGACATCAAGGGGATGTTTGTCTAAAAAATTTGAACTGAAGGAGCTGCCCGTTTGGACACTTTATGTTTCCTTTTAAGTCCAGATCAATTTTTTTTTTTTTTTTTTCAGGCTGTTTTCTGTGCTAGCTGTTGCTGTGTAACTCCTTTTCCTCTTCCCCATAAATGCTGGGTACCTTATAGACCAATAAGCCACAATTGGGAATGCATTCAGAGACCATTAGTACAGGAAGCCGGGTCAAATCCAAAAAAACCATGAACCAGTAAGTTTGAAAACACCGTATGAATGGTCTTTTCATAGCTTTGCTTTCAGGTGGAGTTTGTTTTTGGATTAAAGGAGTTTATTCAGGTATTCACAAATATCCAAGCTCTCTGAACTGGCTGGAATGTGGAAACCTCCAAGTCATAATCAATTGCCTTAAAAGGGATTGGCATGTTCTAACCAGGGAATAGAGGGATGAAAGAGTCATAATTAGGTGCCACGCCTTCAAAATGGGATGAAAGACCAAAAACATCCTCAAAGGCGAAAGCAAAATGAAAATCTCAGATCACCTCTCTCTTTATTTGTGATCAAGACTTTCTAAAAGTACCCGTTACAGATACCTTGTGTGTACTGAAATCCCACATCATTGGTTTTTTTTTTTATTTGTTTGTTTTTTCCCCTTTGCACATTTGGCTGGGGAATTAAGAGGAAAAGAAAAGCACAACTGAGAAGTGACAGAGCCTTGTTCTCTTCCATCTTAGGTGCTGAAATAATGGGGAATGCTGCATCATGAATAGTAGAAAATACCCAGGATGGGAGCTGATGGTTGAGCTGTGATGCCATTCTAAAGGTAATGGCTTTAAGGTTTAGCTTGGATATTAGGAAAAATTTCTTTTCTGAAAGGGTGGGGAGGCATTGGCACAGCTGCCCAGGGAGGTGGGGGAGTCACGATCCCTGGAGGTGTTCAGGAACATGGAGATGTGGCACTGACAGACGTGGTCATGGTAGGGATGGGTTACAATTGGACTTCATGACCTTCGCAGTCTTTTCCAACCTTTATGATTCTATGATTTTGAGCACAAACTGCATCTTCCTTTCTTTGGGGTTAATCCAGGTCGTTTGTGGAGACGCAATTTTCAACAGAGCTGCTAACCATTGTCTCCACGAAGCAGCTGAAAATGGGGGGTTAGAATATGTTTGCATGGCTGTGAGCTGTACGCAGAGAAGTCTGATCTTTCAGCGCTATTTGGGATCAGCTTATTGCAAACTTCAGCTGCTTCGTGCTGTTGTTAATTGGGGGCTATTGTTTCCCAGCTCAGTGTTAAAAGAAATGGAAGGTTATTGGGAACTGGCAAGTTTTCTGGAAATAAGTGAAACCTCCTTCCTTTCTCATTCTGAGCACAGACTGTATGGCACGGCTATACACATGCATTACAAACAGAAAATATACAAGAGGAAAATCTGCGTTTTATACATCCTGAAGCACTTGAATCTCTGGGTTCTTTGTATTTAGGGAAACATTCAGTGTGGCTTTAGACATCCTTCACAGTAAAATCCATTCCCAACTTCATAATACAGCAGCAAATATTTGGCACTTACAGGTATCTTAACTATCTTTTTTTTTTTTCCCTTTTGCGGTCCCAGCCATCTCACATCTCACATAGATTCTGCTGAACCTTGTTCCCTCAAAGCACTTGCATAAACTGTGTCTTTTTCCCTTCTGCAGGTGCACAGCCACTCGTGGAAGAGTTTCTGGATTGAAGCACAGCCCTGAAATTGGCTTTAAATGTGGTCTGACATTGGCAAGTGAGCAAGATTTGGAAGAATGTTCTTGTTGAAATTAATACAACAGAACAGAACTTGTGCTTTCTTGTGCAAAAGTTTGTTCTATAAAATGCTGACCCAAAGTCCGTTTGAAACCAACGATAGTTATTGTCATGTCAACATGTTTTGAGGGGCAGCTGGCCAACAGTTTTTGATGGAGCAATTTTCCATCCACATTGGAATGTTGTCTGAATTATGTATGAAACACAGTAATTGGAGAGAAGCTTACACAACTTACAAAAAGGTGAGATGAGGAGTGCTGCCTTCCTAATTTCTTTTTAATAACAACTAGTCATTTTAATTTAGTGCCATAGAATGTTTCAATTTTTATGTTCTTCCTTTGACTCGTTTGGGTGAAGTAGTCCATAATATTTAAAAGCATATTATTTTCACATTATGTTACAAGTTCCCAGGGCCAGTGCTGGCATGCGGGGTGGAAACTTGTCCCTTCCACTCCTCTCCATCCTTTGCAGTGGTTTCCATCGGCTTGTTGCTGTTGCAGACAACCCTCCTGCCTCTCTTGCTGGGGCTTTTTAAAAGATTTCTCTTGGAGATGCTCTGCTGAACATTTCCAAGGCCCAGCTGTGGGCTGTAGTGCCAAGCTTGGACACAAGTGCTGCAATGACAGCTGGTCCTGTGCTGGCTGAAGGAGATGCTCTCCCTCCAGCTCTGCTGTTGTAGCCACAACAACCATGCATATGTTGGCTTGTTGCTTGTCCCCCTTCTTCCTGCGCCACCACCTTCATCATGGTGCAAGGTCTTACTTTCTATGTCTGCTATTTATCTAGCAGCTTGCTCCTGCTTTATCACTGGGTTTTCCATGCAGTTGGAACTGTGTGTCGTCCAGCATGCATACCCCAAAGTATTCAGCTATCCAGAGACAAGCTGGAAGATGATGAATTCTCAAATCACTTTGCTAGTGATTAAATCTTTCCATATTCTTCCCTGACCTCTTTGCTGCCTTTTAGACTTTTTCTCTCTTAATTTTTTTCCTAATTTTTTGGGGGAAAGCATCTAGTTTTCTGTCCAAACTGTCAGCGACTCTCCAGCTTTCACAGCCCCGTACATTAACCGCTGAGATCATAGCTGTGTTGAAAAGGCTGGGCTCTATTTGGAGGCTGCCTATTTCTGATTTTTGTGTGCTACTAAGTTTAGGAAATGCCTTGCTCAGCCCTTCTAGCCTCGCTGTTACTTCCTTCATGGGTCGGCCGGCCAATACCGCTCTGCCCAGGGAGGTGCGCGTGTTGGCATTTCCTGCTGCACAGGAAGCTCTTATTTCTGAAGCTCTTTTGCTCTCCCAGGAGCTCCAATTTTGGGAGTTGTCACTGTGTTCTGGGGTAATTTTGATTCTCTAACAGCGAGGTGAATTGTCTGGTTGTACAAAGAACTTATTCAAGATAAAAACACCGTGCTTAAATAGCAGCTTAGGTTGGATTAGGGAATAAATGGTGAAAAATAAAGGCATGCATTTTGTCTCAGAAGGAAGTAAAAATAAACTTGGGTGAAGGCTGACTGTGCATTGAGGCTACTCTAATGCTGCTAGCTTTTGCACACCGATAGTGGCTGTACTTGAATGCAAGGGTTGAGTTTGTCCTCATTTCAAGAAGAATTGGCAAAGCAATCATGCTTCATGAAACAGAAAACCAGGAAACCAAACTAAACCTGAAGGGCTGACCAGTCGTCTTCCATAGACTGACGGTACACAGAGAGCTGCAGGAGATTTGAATGAAGCAAAAGAGGGCTACAAGACTCGATGGAAAATGTCCTGACATTAGGCTGCCAACAGGTTTACAACAGCAGGTCAGTGTTCAGTGGGCTTTTGTGATAATCTCAGAATAAAAAAAACAATGAATCAAAGAAAGACTAAGACTCTAAACCACTTAAAGAGGGAGGAGGAGAAGGATTTCTTGTAATTAAAGACCAATCAGACCCCTGGATCTGAATAAAGTGAGTAGATGAAGAAACGAGACAAAAAGCAATTAAGCTCCCCTTGATGACAGACTTGCTTTAACTGCTGAGGAAAAGAAGGGGTTTATTGATTGAAAACAGTTACATTTGAGGGACTTAGTTCTCACCTCTTCTGCCTTGTTACAGTTTGACTCACAGTGGAGCCCTCCATCTGTCATCTCAACAAATCGTAACCAATCTCAAAACTGGGCAGTAGGGAATGCCAGCCCCTTGTGATCAGCACTGCAGCCATAAAAGTCAATGAATGAATAACTGCATGGCTTATGAGTGAATAACGGCATGGTTTGTACATGCATTCTTTTCTGGCATCACTGCATGGGGTGCAAAGGCAGCTGGAGCTGTTTGCAGATGTACAGACATCTCAGAAATCTTGCAGAAAGTTGGTTCAGCGAGTGAGTATTGGATCCTTGAAGGTGGAAAGAGAAGGGAGCTCAGCAAATGGCGCATACACTTCTCATCTTATCAGAGCTGTGCCCTTCTCTGCTCCAAATGTAAATTTGCGTGCAAAGTTGCAGCAAATGGGTGTGCAAACAGCAGGAGACAACTGTAATGTGAAAATAGCCATACAGTTACCTACAGAGCCATTCAGCATTCAGTCCATGTGCTAGCTGGGCAGACGGGGTAATTATATGCACTGATATGGGGAACCAGCTATGCAAGCAGGGTTTTTCTTTTAATGCAGACCAACGGCTTCCTGTTTTGGAAATCTTGCGTCTTCAGTGCACAAATGCATAGTTTTGTGTGTGCATAATTTGTGGCTGTAATTTTAGAGGCTCATTAAATAACTTGGCTGTGGAAATCAAATTGCCTTTCATCAAAATCCAGCAAGAGCTGAACTAGTTCTGTCCATCACAGCAGCCCTTCTGGTCTTCGTTATGTGGCTGAAAAGTACAGATGCAAATGGGGCTCCTGTAGCTCTAAAGGGAGAGGCAAGGACTGGAGCAGGGGGAATGGTGCTGGCAGCTGAATTTCAATAGTAAGCTGGGAGAAATCAGAGCTTCTCAGTTTTTCTATGAAGGTAAGAAAGCCAGAGAAACCCATGCACGGTGCTGCACAAGCCCACAGGGCCCCTATGGTGCCCTGTGCTGGTTGGTACCCCAAAGCATCATCCAGTGTAGCATGGAGAAGAGTATTTGTGTTTTATTCATTAAATACAATAGTTCTGTCTTTCAAATTATTCACATTCTGCTCCTCGTTAGTTATATTCATGCTGATATGAAAGGAAATAGAAGGCTGGAGGGGATATTTTCCCAGTGCTACTGCACATTTTCATGGTTTGTATCCCAAATTCTTGCAGCCAAAAGCTTGGACATTTTCTAGGGCTTTATCTCTGTTCTGCCCCAGGACCAGCAATGCGCAAACTCCTTCCCTCCAGTGACCTCCCTTGTGTAACCATGTTTTCTGGGAGGAAAGAGCGGGTTCAAAGACGCACTGGAAAAGAAAGAGAAACGAGAAGTGATCTCAAAAGGCCCAATGCCTAAAAGAAACGTTTAAAAAAGGGAGACAAATAAAGAGATAAGACAGATGCTGTTTCCTGTGGAACGGGAGACGGCTCTTTGGCAGCTGATGAAGAAGAGGTGGGATTCCCCCTTCCTCTGATCCCTTCCATTTGGGGTTTCAGGTGTCTTCTTCAGAAACCCAAAGGTCACGCAGGGGACAATCTGCTCACCAGAAGGGCCATCGGGCTGCCAACATGTCAGCAATTCAAAGACCGCTGACAGAGATAAGAATGCAGGAGAGGTGTAACTTAAGTGTCATCTTATAGCTACTGGGAGCTCGGATACACTTCAAAGGCGAGCGCAGCCGCTCCATGAGCGGGGACCAAACAGGCTAGGAAGCACAGTTGGGACTTATCGTGTTCCACCAAGAAAGTGTGAAAAGGGGCAGGAGGGACTCTCACGCTGCAAGGTAAATGGCAACGCTCAAAGAACTCCTCCAGTGCTCAGTAAATCTCTGTTAAAAACCTCCTGAGGATTAGATGCCCAGCTCGCCATGGCACAGCGACTCAAATCCCCGTCGCAAAAGATGAAGTGCACCAGGGGAGGCAGCCAAGGAATATTCAAGATTGGGTAGGAGCTCACCAGGGTGCCTTCTTCCATCAGTACGCTGAATGCAGTAGTTCTTTCTTGTCTCCCTGATGAGGCATTGCAGCTGATGGCATTATGGAGGTGCAGGACAGATTGCTCTTGTTGGTGGCCAGTCACTAGCCTTAAGTCAGAGGAATGCTATCTCCTGTCATCACGTGCCTAAAGTCTTCATTTATTCCTGCCTTTTTTTATTATTATTATTTCTTAATTTTCTTATACGTGCCAACTACATCCCTCAGCATCTGCACACTACCCCTGGATTCTTCCAAACAGCAAAGGAAGCAGAAATGGCTCCAAACTTTTATCTATGCTTTCAAAAGGATGCAAATCAGGAAACTCAACCTTAAAAGCTTGGGCTGGAAAGAGCATCCTCCCCATTGCAAAACATTTCACCTTTAATATATTCGAACCAGCCTATGAGACCATTTCTCTTGCCAAGACAACTTTTCCTCATTAACTGTTGGGTTCCAGAAACCTCTTGGCTTTCTCTGAACTTTTCAGCACCAAAGCAGAATACTAATGTCCAGATCACATAGATGAGAAATTAAATCATGTTTCAATAGCTTGGCAGATGCTAAGTAGTCATAAGAGGGAGAGAACCCTAGAAAAAACCATCACTGCACTGTGAAAGCAACCTGCAAAGGGAAGATCCTCAGGACTGCCTGCCTTCAAGCACAGGTTGAGTTTACACCTGCCCCATCAGTTTTAATTTAAGTTGATGATCTCAGCTGGGAATTGTGCTGATTACCAAGGCCCTGAGATCTTTTCCTGTGGGATCTAGGTGGGATTGCTAATCATTGCCCTGGTTTGGGGGTAATATTTGATTGCTGGTGATGGGAGTGAGGTCAGATCTGGGCTTCTCATTACCATGTGCTCAGGCATGCTACGAAAATGGAGAGGAAACACTCTTCCCATCCTGAAAGTAATCTATTCATGCTGGTGCATACATGTCACTTTGAATTTTACTTCT